AAATACTTAATTTCGGGTTTTGGCATAGAAGACATGATGATAGTGTCAGTAATTCTCCGCTCTGGGGAGGAATGCATCTTTATTTAGGGGATTTGAAACGCAGAGCTCAAGCGCAAACTGGTGACTGTGTGGGGTCTTTAGGACACTACTGCTTGTGCGCAGGCAGCTCCGTCGTCTTCCTCAACATAACAAGCTTTTTCTCTCAACATAAACTGCCGTTTACTGCAGTTAGTTGGCTCCTCCGCACACCAAACCATCCTCCAGTAAGTTTTTTCCTTTCCTCCAGCTAGCCGTGGATCACAGCGCATGCAGAAGGCAGCCGTAAGGACAGACGCTGCAGCCATAAAGTTTTAGGCGTTTCCCGACAGGACATAAATACTGAGGTGCGAATGTGTTGTCTTAGCTGCATCTGCCTCTGCACCATCAAACCTTTTATCATGTGGTTTTATCAGAGGCCAGGTTTATTGATTACAACATCCATAATAAATATAAAGCTGTTAAGTGTGTGTGAGCGTGGTTGGATTTGCTCCGAGGGTTTCTGCCCTCGCAAGCAGGGGGTTGTGCAGTGTGCTTTACCTGAGCAGAGCTCGAGGATCCCTGCTGTCCGTGCTTTGTCTGCTCTCTGTCACACTCCGTGGGATTCCCGTCACTTCCCTTTGACTGATCCATGTTCTGATTAATCTGAGGGAAACTTCCCCCGTGCCCTGTATAACTCTCGAGCTTAATCTCAGGACCCTTTTCCTTCGAAGGGGCTTGTGGGGAGATCTCAAGTCCTCTTATCATGGAGGAGGCAGGAAACCTGAGTGGAAACAAAGAGCTTTTAAGTAAATCCTTCTCTCTTGCAAACTTTTTTGGGTTAATTAAGTGCTTGTCCAGGAAGGAGATGATAGTGGTGAGAGGGAGGTCATATTATTTTCTTCTCTTCCTATATATGAAAGTCTGGTGTTGTTTATGCACCTCAGTAAATAACAAGTGTTTTAAGTAGCATATCTCTTAATCTGCCCCTAGGCAGATTAATATTTGCAGATGCTGCCCAGTTGAACACTGGCTTTAAGAAATCCTTCAGGGTTTTGGAAAAGTTAAGCAGGCAGTAGGGAATGAGGAAGGCAATGATTTAAATAAGAAGATATTCTTAACCTAGTGATGAGCTGCCATGCTAAGGGGCACAAAAAAGTAACGTCTCTACGTATAGAGAAGGGCCTGATGGCTCCCAGAGTTGCCAAAATGTCAGGGGAGCAGCAGCCTCTCGGAGTAGGGTCATTCATAGTGTGTGTCTGGGGAGCAGAAAATAGGATTGAAATCTGTAACCCGTTGTGGCTAACTGAAAGCATAGGGGATATCTTTTTAGTACATGTTAACTATTATAAAATTACATCTGTGGTGGCCACAACTGTCCCTCAATGCTACTAAAATGATGAAACCACAGTATTGGTTAACCAATCGAAAGCTATTTTCTTGGGCAGCTTTTATTTGGTGTATTAAAAGAAAAGCATAAATCCTGTCTCCAGAATAAGCAACATGGCAAATATTTGGCCTGATCATTCCAAAGAAAAAGCAGACTTGCGTTAATTGTATTTTTAACTACAAATTATGCTATAATTAAGTTGTGCCATACTCCTGAGTTGCAGAACTTCTAAAAGTTGGGGGCACGTGACATGGAAGTGTAGGCAGACAACTGTAACGGGAGGAATTGGGTACAATATAATTTTAGTCCGGCAGGACAGCCTCACATGCCTGAACTTGTTCTCAGATGGTTTCCGCGGTGTGATCCCCCTTCAGTGCAGGCACAGGTTGGTGCCATAGTTTGTGCTGAAGAAGGGGGAGTTGCTGGAAGCCTTTGCGGCCGGGCAGCCCGTGGTGAAGAGCTCGCTGCCCGTCGGGACAGCCCCGCGTGGCTCCCGGGGACCTTCTTGGGACGCTGCACCCTGCTTGGCCCCTGCTTTGGGGACACTCGGCTGCGCGGGCGGCTCCTGGCGCTGATGCTGCCCCCCAGGCCCGACGTGGTGCCCTCTTACGTTGCCAGTGTCCCCCTCCGAGGACAGGGAGGCTCCGTGGTGTCCGGGCTGCAGCTCTGTGATAACGGGGCACCCCTCCTGTGCAATTTCTGACTTGTCCCCGGTGGTGCCGCTGTGCAGAGTGTGATGCTGCTGCTCGTCACTGCGGGCTTTTCTGTTTGTCCTGGAGCACCCCCTTTGGATTTTGGACCCGGCTGTTTGCAACACGGCCGTTGAAATATTTTTTTGTGGCTTAATGTAAGAGAATGTGTGGGCTTCAAATTAGCCAGGTGTTTCCCTTTTTGCCTTCAGCGGTGTCATTTAGCTTACAGCCCCCGACTTCCCTCAGTGGCCCTTTGGTAAAGGTAGTTACTGAACTCATGGTTTTATGTAAGAGAGGTCAAGAATGAAGATACCTGATGTGTGACTTTGCCTTTCAGAAAGGGTGTCTGATGAAAGCTATTAGCTGATTAAAATTTCCAGTCCTTCAAATCATCTCGAGACTTCCCATTTAATTGTCACTACTGAAAATGTTTGCATTGAAAACTCCAGGTGAGAGTGCTTCCCTGTGGAGCAAGGACCACGTTTCCTACATGCTCTTCCTTCCCCCGTTGCTAATCTTCAGCCTTCTCCAAGGCAGAGGTGTCTCCTGCTTGAGAAGCAACACGATGCCTGTTCGAGATCTCCTGGCTCAAACTATTGTCATTCGAGGTCCCTAAAGCTGAGGCAAATCAAACCTGCAGGTGACACTGGACACTGAGCGTGTCGGGGCAGAGTGGAGGAGTGTGCTGAGGACTGACTCATTTGGAGATGCTCCATATACAGTTTTAGCCATTCCCACCTGTATCACGTAGTGATGTTCCATTTTTTCTTTTTAGGAGTGAGAATTCATCCATCTGCTGCACTTCCTCCTCTTATGTATTTTTCTCTGTTCTTAGCAGAGGCCACTTTATGGAATATTAAGGAGCCTGGTTACATTCTGGATTTGGAGAATGGGGCCAGGCAGCAAATTGTGGGGACTGAGGATTGAGTGACAGAAAATGTGCATGTTGCACGTAATTTACATTTTTACATTCTATATAAATAGACTGTTCAACGTAAAATATTAGTGAGACGTTGCTGTTCTCTGCTGTTACTGCTTGTTTCGTGTGTTGCATCGTTGCAGGTAACACCTGAGTGGTTATTTTCATGACAAATATTCTGCCATGTGTGAGGATCAAGAACACACAATACTCGTTGCGCGTTGGACCCTTCCCTGTCTTTAAAGTGAGAGCTGTGGAAAACCACAGAAGGAGAGAATGGAACTCAGCGTTTGCTTTATTAATTTGTCAGTGTTTTCTACTTGACTTAAACATCCCCAGCTTACTGCTGCGTACGGCTTAAAGGCTAAACCCTGTGTAAAATGCTGATGAACTGTGGCTAGATGGGTATTTCAGGGGGAAGTGGAGCCTGTTTTCCTTTCCTGATAGGAAGAGAAGATCAGTACAAACTCTCACCCACTTGAGCCAGCGATGGGTGATAGTGCCTGTAGGGACAGGGAGGAGCTAATGAGACAAACAGCCCTTTCGGTTTGGATTTTTAGAGGTTCTCTTCATCAGAGATTAGCAAAGAATTTGTCAACAAATGAAAAATTACAAGCTTCCGACAACATTTATAATGAAATTTGCAATCATTATTTTACACAGTAAATGTTGTTGTTTTTGAGAATTCTTACATTCCACAAAAATGCGCTAGAGAACTATCTTTTCAAATTGGCCTTGACATAAGGGATTTTTTTTTTCCTTTCCGCGGCTCAGATCCTGAAGCGGCCGGAGTGCGGAGCAAAGCCAAGCACGGGGCTGCGCGGCGCGTGGGAGCGGCCGTGGGAAGGCTGCGGTGCCGGACAGCGCGCGGTTCTCCTGGTTAACTTCTGGCTGGAGGATGTTTGTTTGACGGGACCCTGGTATCCCCTGCGTGCCGTTTCCGCCGCGCTCCTTCGCGGCGCGCACGGAGCAGCGGTGGAGAGGTTGGAAGAGCCGCGTGTTTTGTCGGCTCCGGCAGGATGAGGCGCTGTGTGTGCGCCCTGCTTTGCGTAAGGGCGCAGCAAGCCCGAGCTCTGCCTCAGTTTCCTCACTCTCATAACAAGGAATCAGATTCAGTTAATACCAAAAATGTTTGCAGTCACCCCGGGCTTGCAGATCCCACCGGTAGGATGACTTTTCTTGTGCAACTGTTAGGTTGAAGAAAGTGGGTTCTAGGTTCGGAATCAATTTGGGGGAGAGTTTCTTTCACTTCTCAATACTGCATGGTGACCTACTTAATTGGGAGTAATTACCGTCTAAATATATTAGTTTAACATAACAAGAGGCTGTCTGGAAAATAAACTGGGAGGGAAAGAATGGCTCAAGATAAACCACCTCTTTGCAAACACTTAAGAGTTGTTAAGGGACATCTCCAGAGCTATTAGCAGAGAAGTTGAACTTCACTATTGTAATTTAGCTCCTGGGAATTGGAACCGAGCAGCAGTGCAAAAAGAATAGATTAAAAAAGAAATTGCTGGGTCTGTGGGTATCAGTTTGTTGGAGAATCACTTGGTGATAAGTTGTGCAGCCCTTGGAAAGGAGATAGCTGTTGGATAGGAGGGATGTGGTCGATACTGTGGAGCCGCAGTGTTTATCTGCCGTCTCCCCAGCCCCGTTCCTGAAGCGCTGCTCGTGGCTGTGCTGGCTGCTGTTTTGATTTCAGCAGGCCTACCTGGTCGCACGGCGACTGCAGCAGCCGAGGGCGAACCCCGTCAGACCGGCTCCGTGAGCAGGGCTGAGCCGCGGAGCATCGCGGGCCGGCTCTGCCGCGCAAACAGAACCGCGTTGCTTCATTTGGGAAGGCTAAGCAGGGCCTGCCACCCGAAGGGCTCCGTTGGGACAGAGCCGTGGCCGTCCCTGTGATTAGGATGGATCAGTCACGCAGAGGAGCGCGGCTGCGTTTGGCGCGCGCATCCTCGGCCGCGCGCTCCGAAGAGCGACTTGCCGTATGCGGCGGAGCACACGCGGCTCCGGAGCGGGTCACGGCCGTCCCGGTGGAGCCGAGCGGATCCGATGGGGCTGCGTACGGGCACGAGTCCTGCCTGCGGGGCGCGGATGGGGCAGCAGAAGCTTTTGGATGATAAGCCCTTCTCGTGAGGTTAAACTTCTCATACCTGTCCCCAAAGCACAGGCAGCTGGTGCCAGGCAGTTGTAAGTGGGGCATGACAGAAAGACCTTAAAATAAAAGCAAATTTTAATGACTTGAGTGTTTTTGACCCTGAAAAGACCTTCCTTGTTACTAAGGCTTGCATTCACTTGTAAACTCCTGAATTACTGAGACTGCGGATGCGTTTAAGGCCACCTGCCACCAGCAGCTGCAAATACTCGGGGTGCAGAGGACTTGCTTGAGGAACCCTTGGAAAACGCTGCTCCCTTTTCCAAAGGGAGGTGCTGCCTTCGAGCTACTGCCTGGGATTTGGGGGGACAAGAGCAGCGTCTGTCGGGCAGAGCGCCTGGCGCCGCGGGGATGGGCTGCTCTGCCGCGCGCGGGGCCGCCCGCCGCTATCTCCGCGGAACCTGAACTTCGGATCTGCTTTGTCATCCTGACTCCGGCCTCGCTGCTTTCAATTTCCTTTTAGTTTCTGGAAGCTTCCTCGATCGCTAGCAGGGAGGCTGAGATGGGCCCAAACAAACAACAGGGGCTCCCCCCGCCCCAGCAAAACCTGATGTTCACCCAAAGGGTGCGAGCAGGAGGGTTCCCCATGCCTGGTCCCATAAAGGTGCAAATGTGCCTGGCAGCAGGTCCTCTCCTGTAGTTAGTTTTTAACTAAATGCTGCCACAGCCTGGAGCTGTTTCCCAATGGCAAAGCAAGCAGTGAAACATGACCCAGGGAGGGGAAGGCAGTTGGCAGCAGGCCTGTGTGCACAAATAGCCCACTACCTTTGGAAGCATCTTTGCAGGCAAGCAAACAAAAAAACAGCCGGGCAGCCTTGCAAGGAATCACCGCGCAAATCTTCCCCTTGCAATTTAATGTTTCCTTTCTGCATGGTGTACACAAAATATTGTTGCAGCTGATCCTGGAATCATGGCACACGGGACAACGTGCGGATTTGTGAGGCGGGGAATGAGGAGAGCACAGGGCTGCGGGCTTTTGTTGCTGGATTGCTGCAATGGAGGCACGAAATTTTAGTGCAAACTTGATGTGCGGAGCGTAGTGAAACTGGTTGAGTGGCCGGGAGCCTCCTGGCACGGCCCCTCCGTGAGTTATGTAAATCTTGTGCCGTGTATAAGCAACAGGCGGCCGGTGACGTAAAGCTGAGCATTTGTCTCTATTTATTGGCTAATGTGACACGCACCCTTCCCGGAGCGTTTGCCTGAGCTGGCTGTATTAAATATAGCCCTGACACTCCTCGAAAATGCCCAGAGGTGAATAATGCCTTCTCAGCTGGAATTTATTGTTCTAAAGGTAAAAATCTCACGTGGTGGCTCTGGGGTTTCACCCTAGGCTCAAAGTCCGTTCCGTGGCGGAAGGGCTCGTGTGCGTGCCGGCCTGCTGGCCCAGCCGCATGGTCCGCCGGTGCCTCCTCGTGCGCGGTCGCTGTGGGGACCCTCCGCACACTCCGCCGGTGCCTCCTCGTGCGCGGTCACTGTGGGGACCCTCACCAGGACGTCGGGGCCTCCCGCCGGTACCGCAGCACCGTTACCTCCTGCCGGACGGCCCGGCCGATCCCACTGTGCAGGGCTCGTCCTGCCCCCGGGTCTGCCCGGGGTGCCATCACCCCTCAACACGAGCACCCAGCCTGCTCCTTACTCCTTGCATCTCCTGTGTTTCCTACGAGGAGAAATCCATGGTATTTCTCCGAGGGAGTTCTGTTTTTATGCAGGATGCATCTGATTTGTTTGTTTTCCCCAAACACTGTAGGAATTGAGCAGGAGGCAGTTGGTTTGCTCTCTGTTCCAAGCCCCTTTCCAGCTGGCAAGCTATCCAGAAAGCCCTATGTTTGTTCTTTCTCAGGGTCATGCTGCAAATGTTTCTCTTGCTTCACCTTGGCTTTTTTGGCTTCAGTTTAGATACAGGACACTTCACCAAACAATAGCAACCCTCAGTGAATCCTCTTACCCCGTCTGCAGCTTCTGACTGATCTTTTACATGGCTTCCTTTGTCCTGTGGGTTTTCTTGTCCTTTTTTCTTCCCCGTTTTGCCCCAAAGGGGAGCATAACTATTTGCAGTCAAGAGTAAGCCCCGGCAGTTAAACCTATTGCTTCTGGTGAGGATGATTTGATTGTGTCTCCTCACAGCACCTACTCACATGTAAATTTAGGGCCACAACTCGCAGCCAGGCGTGAACAGAGGAAGTGCAGGACTTGCCAAGCACTTATATAATCACTTAATAGTATATCGTGGCGGAGCAGCTCGGAGTCAGGAACCTGCTGCCTATTTGACTGCGCTTCAAATTAATTCTCCCGAGTTTCAGCTGCCCAACGTCTCAGGAATCAATAGCACTTGTAGCTCTCTGAATAACTTAGTATATCACAGGTTTCCAGCATCGTTTGTCTTTGGTCAATAGGAAATTTTGGCTGAGAGGGTTTTAAGCTGTGACTTTTTTCCAAGAGCTGAGCAGACTCTTGCTGGTTAATAAACAGTCCTAGAGAGCCCGTAGCTCATACGTGGCCATATGGTTCCGAAGCAGCAGTGCTGGAGTTCTTATCCATAGCGCCTGATGCACCTTTGGCCTCGAGAGTTATCGTAAGTGTATTCTGTGTGTTGTGTCCAGCCCATGTTCCTTCGGGCCCTTTGTGCCAAAATAAAACAAAAAGATTCAGGTTGCTGAAGTTATCTCTAAGGAACAAGGCCTGTCTGAAGACCCAGCGCTGCTGTTTACGTGCTGCTGCGTGGCCAGGCCCGCCGCGGCTCTTCGACTTCTTGGCAAACTTCAAAAAGAGCTGGTGGGTTAGAACCTCCAAAAACGGAATTACAAGATTTTCAGTGAAAATAAGCTGAGTAGGAAAGTGGTCCAAAATACTGTTCCTATGAAGCAAAAGACAGGTCTGAGCTCAGTAATTTTGGAGGAGTCGCATGCGATAGAGACAAAGATTTCAGGAAAATGTGAGCAATAGGTCTAATGTAGTATGAATAACATTTTTTTCTTACCTGTTTTGGGCAAAATACATAAAGCCGTGCAAAGGACCTTGACCCAGTTGTCCTTAAGGTTGCATTATTTATTTATTTGCCTTTTTTTTTTTTTCTATAGGAATCTACAAGCCGCCATTTTCGCCTACTATGATTTTGAGAGCCCAAATATCAATGTACCCTCCATGTCCTTTGTTGAAGATGTCACCATAGGAGAAGGAGAGTCCATCCCTCCCGACACCCAGTTTACAAAAACATGGAGGATACAAAACACAGGTAAATCCTGCAGGCTGGAGCTGCGCCCGGACCGGTGCGTTCCGTGGTGAGGGTGGCACATGCAGGGGAAGAGCTTCTGTGGAAACGGGTCAGTTGGAGAGCAGATTAAACTAGCCATGTTTCTGATCACTTGCCACAAATGAGATAATGGAAGTCGGTGGAGAGATCCCTTTTAATCTCAACATGTTTTAACTCATGAGCAGCCTGTGTATTACAGCCGCTCTTAGTCACGCGGTTTTTCCGAATGTCCCCGTCATTTGATAGCTGTGCTCTCTCTAGAGCTGTGTTCTTTGGCAGAGGCAGCGATGCAGTGATCCAGCTGAGGAGGGATGACTGTGCAGGGTAACGTGGCAAGTACCCTTTACTTTTAAGTACACTTAAAACAGAAGTGCTTGTTCATGTTTTGGGAGGATGCAAGGCTGGAGAGACCACATTCCAGTATGTGATAAGCCAAAACAGCAGCTGGAATCCAGGAAGTGAGACGAGGCTAAAGACATTCTCAGTATTTAGTCTGTTGGGATGTACTCAGAGGGGAAAAAAAATCCATGAATGTAAAGCAAAATACCTTGTCCTCAAGTGTTGCAATGACAGGATGTAGCCTGAGTGTTTAACCCATGTGTCTGAATTTAATTGACCTGCTGGCACTTTTATAAAGAAGAATGATAGCCCAACGAGGTCTAATATCATGAATCATCCTGAGCAAACTGCAGGTGTGTTAATATCGTTGCTTGTAAATAATTGCAGTGCTTGAGTACTGTACAGGGCTATGCTAAATATTATAGTGTAGCGACACTAAAACCACGCTAAAAAGCTAAGGATATTTCATGAGGACATCACAGGTGAGGAGAGATGACTTCCTGTTTCCTGCTTCCACCCAGTATGAGCCTTAATTTATAAAGACTATATTCAAGATGGGAGGCATAATTATTTCTTTTCGCTTTTTCATTTAGTTGACTCGGTGAAATGCAAAGCTGATAGGTATCGCTTACTCAAGCTCCTATCGTGTGCAAAATTGGCCAGCAAATATTTTAGAATCGTCCCTCAAATACAAGTCTTACAAATGTAGCAAATCTGACCTATCCTGTGTCCTCCTGTGTGTTTTTTTTTTTTTTTCCTGCATGGACATCCAGCCTGAATTTTATATCCTAGTCTTAGCAACGTTTCAGTGTTCCTGGAACTTTTGACCTCCTGCAAGCCACGGATCTTCTAAATTGAGGAAAAGGAGTTAATCTTGACTTAAAAGTTCCTGGCAAGGCCAGAATTTGTTTTGGCTTTGATGTGAGTTAAATCTAAACCTCTTAAGAGGTGCATCTGTAGCCTAACGTTGCTGCTGGAGGCCAGGTCTGCTGTTGAGGCATGTTTTAGTTAAATCCAAATTGCTGTATGGTGTCATGACTGTGCAGTTTAGGTAGGACCACACTATTTTACAACCATCTTAAGGTTTAATTGAGATATAATATCAAAGGGCTACAGTGTTTCCAGATAATATCTGCTTGTTAGGTAGGTAACTGAAGTAAAGCCAAGGTTTTGAACAGCTCTGCAGACACTCTTGATGACAGGACTTCAGTTCCACAACACGCAGTACCTGAGGCTTGTGTCACCAGAGCACTGAGCGTGTGACGAGTGCGGCGAGCAGAGCTTTGCAGAGATTGTTGCTCTTAAGGATGCAAGCAATACGCTAGTTTCAGGCAGGTTTTTGTATGTGTTATTAAAAACTAATACCCTGCTCTAATACCTTCCAGGACTCTGCTTGGTTTGTCTGCCAAAAGACCAGTTTGTACAGTAGAACCATTGCTGAAAGAACAGCAGGATTTAACAGACTTATTTCCTCTTCCCTCTCTACCCTCAGCTGCTGCTGGCTTTGCAGGACAGTTACTACAGTTTATCATCTCCTGAGAGATGCATGTACTGAAATAGAATGACATAATCATCATTTCATTTTACGGGCCTTATCAGTTGCAGCACTCTAGGCACCTTGCAAGCCTAAAGCCATTAAAACCGATAAAAATCACATAAATAATTTAAGCTAAACCGTGTTGCTGGGCTGCCAACCCTTTCAGAGGAGACTTCATACTCAACTCCCACACACTATAGCGTGAGGTCAGTTAATCACTCGGCTCCTCTTTCAGAAACCTCCCTATCTCAGCGCTGTTCCCAACTGTAGCGATACCCCCGGTGCCAAATATCCCGTGTTGTTTATTCGTATCACGCTGTCGCTGCTGGACTGTAAATTTCACACAGCAGGACTCGACAAGAAAACCAATCCCTGCCATGTCTTCCCTGAACTATCTACTGGGATTAAATTATCAAGGAAGCTTTTGCAAAGGCTGCTCTTCAAGGCAGCCTTAGGTCAGATCAGTATCCACTGTCCTTGCCTCGGAAAAGACCTAGGGTTGTTCCAAGCTTCCTGATGGGTCAGGCTTTCCTTAACTGTTTCCACCAACCTTAAGCAAGCAGCAATATTCCCAAGTTAATGCCAATATCAGTTACACAGATTTTTTTGCAGTTGCTACACAGAGTAACTGCCAGGACTTTGAGGTTTCTCCTGTGTAAAGAAGAGCTAGAGGTTATTTAAAGAGGAAATGGGAATTCCTGTGCTGGTTGCACGGTGGCCTGGTCTTGTCTGAGCAATGCGCTCTTCCATGTCCCTCACGGGCTGTGCGCATCTCAAGAGCCCTTTGCCTGTTTGGCAGTTGCACAACTGCCCTAGTAAGGATGTTTTATCCCTTTTTGTGCATCCCGAAAGCTTTTCCTGGTGCACTGTCATTAATCCTTCCTTCTGCTTACCCCTAGGGACGGAGGCCTGGCCCCCAGGGGTTTGCCTCAAGTACGTTGGGGGCGACCAGTTTGGCCACGTCAACATGGTGATGGTCAGGTCCCTGGAGCCGCAGGAGATGGCGGACGTCAGCGTGCAGATGTGCAGCCCCAGCACGGCAGGGATGTACCAGGGACAGTGGCGCATGTGCACTGCCACCGGACTCTACTACGGAGGTGAGAGCTTCCCTCTTCGAGCGCTCCCGTTCCAGGCAGAAGAACTGTTCCTGCTGGCCCCTTGCGGGCACTCTCCTGCTGTCTCCGCAGTATTTTAGCTGTACTCCTTCCTCGTGTGACTTAGTGTCATGGCTCTTGGCACGTTGTTGCGCTCTGTGACTTTGCAGCTCACCGGGGAGGTCCTCGGTTTCCAGTCTGGAAGTGCTCTAGAAATCTAATGGCCAGTGCCCACTGTGTTTAATACTGAAGGACACGAGCTGGGTGTTAGTAACCTCTGACCACGTGCAGAAGGCAGAAGTCTGCCAGCTCGAATTTAAATATAGAAAATAGAGAAGACACTAAGTGAGCTCCGTTTCATTGGTCAGCACAGGTTTGTCTTCTAAACTCTGGGGCAAACTGCAGATTACACAGAGCGCTGGAGGAGGAATGGACTTGTGTGGGTCTCCTTGAGACTCTTACCCAGTCAGCTGGGTAACCTGCTGCGTTTACCATAGAAAGAGTTTTTTTTATTTATAACGTTTTAAAGAAAATCAGTGCATGATATTTTGTGTAGTTCCTCAGCCTGAACCCACCTTAAATATTAATTCGTTTGGAGTTTTGCAGGCATTTTTAGCCAGGTTTATTTTCTAGCAAGAGCATCTTTGTGTCGGTTTTGGCAGTTGGGAGCATGGGCTTAAATGGGAAATAGTAACGCCCCAAGTCGGAAGCAGCTCTTTGCTCAAAGTGCCTCTTTCTTTGACAGAGCTGTAGGAAAGCTGTTTAAAATCAGTAACCCCACATTGCGCATTTTGACAGAAAACAACCACGCGTCCGAACCTGCGCGTTCCCCATGGGGTTGGGGCCGCCGAGCTCCGGCGCGGGGGTTTTGCGTGCTCCTGTGGGGCTTGGGGCCGCTGGGCTCTGTTTCAGGGGTTTCGAGCGCTCCCGGGGGGCTCGGGGCCGCTGGGCTCCGGTTCAGGGGTTTTGCGCGTTCCCGGGGGGCTCGGGGCC